ACACACACACACACACACACACACACACAGGTTTCACAGACAGATGGAGGATCCTACTAGAGAAAAGCCTCTCATGGTGAAACAGTAATAAATGGAGATTCAGAGGATTTGAGGTATATTTCATGGCATGCATCAATCAGGACAAAAGTATGTTCTGCCTTTAAGGAAGGTCATTCAGTATTTCATTTTTATTTGGAACAGTATATGAAATTATAGTTGCATTGTATATCAGAAACACAATATTATTACAGTGCCCAAGCCTTAAAATATCGGCTATGACACAGTATTTTCCGTGATGCATTGTAGCAGTTAAACTCAGTTGGGGAAAAACATATTTTTGATTGTAATTATTTTTATTTTATTTATCCTAAGACTTATTAAATCTTAAAAGAATTATAGAAAGACAAAATTAAATGCTACGAAAGTGTAGGATATAGCTATATTCAACAGAATAACCCCAAGGCCTTTCACAATCATGAATTTTGTGCTGATTTGAATTGTCATGCAAATATTTGTTATTAACACATTTTTTTTTTTTACATGGAATTGTATATAATAAAATGATTAATTTCAATGATTTGAAAAATAATAATATAATAATATATATTTTTTTTCTTTTCTGTTAGTTGTAATTAACTAACCCTGATTATGACTCCTCTGCTCTCCCATACCACGTCGGAAAAAGAGACTCATTTGACAGCGTTTCTTTAAGTGCTTAAATTTCAATTACTTGGATGGCAAAATGTGATTTCAGATTGTGAACTATAATTGTGATTGGATCAAATAACCATGCTCAGACAATTAATCAATAATCGCGACACTTTGAATGTGCAAGGAATCATTAGTCTTGTTCATCATTGTGGAAGCAAAGACTACAGTGTTTATTTGTGCACTGAGGGGGAAATTGCCCATAAATTGTAAAATTATGAAGTTGATTATTTTGTCACTGTTGGAATTCAATTTCATAGATCATTTCTCCACTGGTATTGAAATATTCTGTTGATTCTTGTACAGCACAGCTGGTACACATACACACATACGGTCTCTCAGCATACTCCATCTGATTATTAAATGTTTGTTTTGAAGATTTATGGTGGATAGATCAAGACCATAGTTTGTGAAGTTACACAGAGTGTTTAACCTCCTTTCTAAAGAAGTTGAGATTTCCAATTTCAGTCTTGAATAAAATGTGTGTGAGTGGTCAGTCTGGCAAATGTAAGCAGCGGAGAGAGGCCGACTTGTTCTCTCTGATGGAAGGGATGTTTCTGTAAAGGAGACTGACCTACTTTCCCCTGCTTTATTTTCCTGTCTTGTCCTCTCCCTAGTGTGCATATGTGTACAGTTCTTCAAGTGTGTTGGACAGTATTAGCATATTGTACATGTGTGTGATTTCCAGGTTATTAGCATTGTGTGTATTTTGGGTCTCTGTGGATTTCATTGCATCACTGGCTCATTGTCTGGCAGTCTCAGGATTTGGACTGACTGTGTCTCCAAAGACAGGATAGAGCACTTTGGGAGTGCTTACATTCCGTTCTTTTTTATTCTCATCTATTGGCCTTTTCTCTTTTCTTCTCCTCCACATCTTCTGCTGTGGGGGTCAAGGCTTGTTTTCCAGACTAAATCTAATCATCTTGGGCTATGAAGAAGGAAGGCCCCTTCATTAGAGATCAGCCCTGCT